GAAGGAAATAGAATCGAGCAAACGCTAAAAGGTGTTTAAATGCACTAGGGAGTAAGAAGAATTGTAGGAAGGGAAAGGCAAAATGAGCAAAGAAGTAATGCCAAATAACAAAAATGTTGACCGACGACGGTGATTGGCCGAAGACATCCAGGTCACCGAACTGACTTAATTGCTGTCAATCAGAATGCGGAGTAATCCTGTGCCCGGTAGCACGAAGTATGCAGAAGGTGAACGTAATGGACTCTCATCGTGTTCGCGGAAACTTACATAGATCTCCGGAAACCCGAGCGTAAGCAAAAGTGAATGGGAAAAGTGACTGTAAGCAACTTGTGAAACGTAATCTGGTAGATGGTATTGTCGCACGTGTATACAAAGCAGGTAAGATTAGGCATGTTTAATTACAATATACGAATACTATGACATGTAAATTAATGTTATTTATTTGGGAGATACAGTAAGAAAAGTATGCATTAACTGTTCTCTTATCGTTCCCAAGACTGCTGAACGCCAAAAATGTGAAAGAATGCACTATTTCCGGAATTTCAAAACATTCAACGTGCAATTAATTCCCTGCCAGGAAAAATTTCTGTTCCTAGGGAAGCTCGCATGTGTTTGCGGTGGTGTAATGAACCAAAAAATCATACGGCAGCATGGAGACGGGTTTGTGTTCAGGTGTCGAAGATGCAAACGCAGGAGGGCACTGGGTGCAAATTCGATCGTCCAAAGTTACTGACTTGCATCGAGAGAATAGTAAAACGCCGATGAAGCAGTGCGCTGCAGTACTAGGCCTTAATAATAGATCATGTATCAGCTGGTGTGCAATATGCCGCAATCCCTGCTCAAATGCCCTCCTCAAAGAGATAAAGCAACTCGGCACGGACGAGGAGTAGATATGCAGGCAGATGAAACCCTGACTAGCAGGAAGAAGTATAACCATGGACGAACCCAGCGGCAGGACTGGATTTTTGGGGTTTACGACATGTCCTAGATGAAAGCTCTGTTTGAGCAGGTTAGTGCTAAGAAATGGAGATCGCTGAAGGTGGTCATAAGGAAGTGGGTGACTCCAGGTAGTGTCATTGTAGCGGACGAATGGAGGACGTAAACTCGCCTACCCTCCGAGGGTTACCATCATTACACGGTCAATGACTTGCAGAATTTTGTTGATTCAACAACAGCCCGGTAGGATATTGGAGTAGATTTAAACACCACCTGCGTAAAAAAAGGTAACATAGAAGGAATGGCGGTATGGACACAGGTAGGCGAAGCGCATCACCGACCGTGGTTCGATATACAACCGGACACACTTCCTGAAGGCTGGGAAAGTTTCGTAAGTCATAGTGTGGTCGGCCGTCTAGGTTGTCACACCGAAAACGGCAACGCTAACATCAAACTGAGCAGCCCCTGCGAATACAACTGTAGCCTAGGCACCCTAGCACCCGCATAGTAAGTAAAATAGTACGGTCAGTCAGTCATTGCAAGCGCACTTAATTGACGCGGATACAGAAATGCATTCGGGAGCTAACGAGACCTACTGAGATAATTCGAAATGCGAAAAATGCACAACGTGAAACCCGGAGAAGCAAAGAACACGTGAAGAAATTGCCTGTCGAGCAAGTGACCCACGTAGAACCTTTCTTGTACACGAAACAGGCACCAACAGTCAGTACTTATGCCACATGGGAGGATAGATTTCTTGTGCGAAATGTATTTCAGTAAGTGAGTTGCGTAAGAAGGCCGAAAGACTTCAGCCAGCGTCATGCGGGTGACCGGACGATTGGATGGATAAGTAATTCATGTGCTGAGATCGCATCTGGTAGCCGAGAGTGTAAAAAGGAATTAAGAACATAGTTCTTAGCCGATTTCGAGTGCAACCCGAAGGTTACCGATTTAACCGTAGCTGAAATGAGCGGTTAAGTGGACACCGTAATCTATGCTGTGAGATTCCACTTAACCCTGACGGCCGCTAAATAAACTGCGGTTGAAATCAGAAGCGCATGGTCGGTGGAATGGTGGCTACAGGATTTTTACCCTGCACTAACGAACTCTAGACCCTGTATTGGAATGAAGGAGAAGTATGACCGCGTATGGAAATCCACCTTGAGGTACAAGTGAAAAATGTTACCGTAGGTGTAGCGAAATGTCATGCAATTAGTGGTAGTAGTAGTAGTAGTAGTAGTAGTAGTAGTAGTAGTAGTAGTAGTAGTAGTAGTAGTAGTAGTGAAAGAACAAGAACAAGAAAAAAACAAGAAGAATTTTGGTAGTATGCATGGTGGAAGTATATGTAAAGCGTGGGAAACGACACAATCACTTGTTTGAACAACAAAAATAAATATTCAGTTACACGCGACAGTACATGGTCGCCGCAGTCGAGGATAGAGGGGTGGTTACTATCCTCAAACGATAGCTACTCATTAGAGTAAATGAATAAAAAGATGGCCAGCCCAAAACAAGCGCATTTGCGTGTTATCCGGTATGAATATACCTTCAGGAAGGGGAAGGAAAAGCATGGTTGAAGACCCAGAAAGCGGAAGCGCCCTAGTTGTATTACCTCGATTTGGCGGCGGGCGCACTCCTTCCAAACGCAGAGCCACTTGCTGGCTTAGGAAATAAGGGCACAAGCGCAAATCCAAGACCACCGAATGAACGGCGTAGGAAGTCTCCAGTAAACAGTCTGTGTAGTCGGAACGGCAATGCTTCCTGTATCGCTCCGAGCTACTGGTTACATTAGATCACGAAAGCAAAAAAGTAGGACTGTGCCGCGAGTTGAGTTTTATTAATAGAGCATGTCTACTTTGCAACGATAAGTAGAAATGTCGTATTAATAAAGACCGTTGGCGGCCACAAGTCAGTCCTGCCACGGACACTTTATACCGATCAATGGGATGGCATCAATAGAATTCAGCCGCCGGACTCCAACCTAAACGTGGAAAAAAATTCCACAGCAAGTCCAACATCAGAAATTTCCTTCCTTTTCAGGCACTGTTGTTGCCACTTTTACAGGCACCCGCCCTCATGATCTCCCGAATCGACGGCCCACCTGTTGTGCCCAACTCGATAAAACACCATTGCGCTCGATATCCTCCACAATCCATCTCACCATGCGACCACAAGCACCGCAATCGTCCAATCAACTCACCAATCCGACGCTGAATGACTTTCATATGAGGCTCATGCATGCACGTCTACATCACCCTAGTGGACGGACGGTGAGCGGGCTCAGAGTCGGCCGCGCGTCAGGGGCTCTGATCGCCACTGAGTTTGTGCGAAATACATGACTTCTACTGGCGGTCCTCCCCTTGTAGCCAAAACAAGACCGTATCGTATTTATTGTGGTGTATTGAGTTCATCCGCTACTTTGACGCTACAAAATCATTAAGTTAGAAAATTATACGCAAGATCATGCAAATAAATTCATAGGGGCCACGCACTGGAACGATGGGTTAGAACACATTCATCAATGGTAAAGGCATCAGACCAGTAGTCACTGTTTCTGATCGAAAATATGCATATAAATGGCCACAAACGAGGCGCACAGCATGCGCCAGGACAATCGACCTCGAAAAGGTTTGAATTCAATTA